GAAATGTCTGTTCGTTTATTGTTGTCTACAACGAAACTGTTGTAAGAAAAAAAAAATGTCTAGCAGCGTATCAGTATCTATAACAACACCAATTGGGAAATTGAAATGTTTAACTGTGTATCATTGTCTATAACAACAATGTTATGGTAATAAAATGTCTGGCAGCGTAGCAGTATCTATAACAACACCAATTGGGAAATTGAAATGTTTGACTGTGTATCATTGTCTATAACAACAATGTTATGGTAATAAAATGTCTGGCAGCGTATCAGTACCTATAGCAATGCTAAGTGTATCATTGTTTGTAGCAACATCGTCATGAGAATATAATATCTGCAACAATGTTATGAAAAAAGAATACCTGGTCATCTATCAGTGTCTTAGCAACATAGTTATGAAAAAGAATGTCTGGTCATCTATCAGTGTCTTAGCAACAATTTTATGAAAAAGAATATCTGGTCATCTATCAGTGTCTTAGCAACAATGTTATGAAAAATAATATCTGGTCATCTATCAGTGTCTTAGCAACAATGTTATGAAAAAGAATATCTGGTCATCTATCAGTGTCTTAGCAACAATATTATGAAAAAGAATAGCTGGTTATCGATCAATGTCTATTCAGCATCTTATATTTTAATTATTTTATCAAGTGTGATAATTAGAAGCTCAAACAAGTCAGCTTTATTAACTTTGCTCTTCCCTGAGAATGAGCTTTATTAACTTTGCTCTTCCCTGAGAATATCTCAGTTGAAAATGATGGTCTTTGTGTTGCAGAAAGCCCACAGCACAGGGAGCAACAACGTTGTGCTTTAAGTTTCTCCAAATATTTGTCATAGTTACGTAGTAAAGACTCGTTGTGTTTAATTTGTTTTCGAGATAAATATTTAGTATATCCTTTCTCTCTACTAAGGTCTGTAACCAATCAAATGTATGAAATGAATGAAAGTAACTTATTGAATGTATTTTCCGAAGGAAATACCCCCCCCAGAGACTCAGCTGCTAGTCTGAAGTTATAAAATCCTGGTTTCGATACCCGTGGTGGGCACATCACAGATAGCTCATTGTTGAACTTTGTGTTTAACAACAAACAAACAAATCCAAGAAAAATGTAAAATAAAACAAGACTCACAGCAGTAATCGCATGCAAAAATAAATGAAAAATAGGTGATTATAGAGACTTGTTTGTTTGTTTGTTTGTTTTTGAATTTCGCGCAAAGCTACACGAGGGCTATCTGCGCTAGCCGTCCCTAATTTAGCAGTATAAGACTAGAGGGAAGGCAACTAGTCATCACCACCCACCGCCAACTCTTGGGCTACTCTTTTACCAACGAATAGTGGGATTGACCGTCACATTATACCGCCCCCACGGCTGAAAGGGCGAGCATGTTTGGTGGGACGGGGATTCGAACCCGCGACCCTCAGATTGGATTATAGAGACAAAAAAATATATTTCATGTCATTCATAAAATAGATTTATGATAAATACTGCAGAACAAAGACATCGGAAAATTGTCTTGATAGAATGTGTAACGTTTGTATTGTCTGTTTCTAACACACTCAAAACAAAAGAAGTAACATTTTAACTGGCCTCTCACGAGCCAGTGGGGGTCATTTTTGTTGAAAAAGACCACCCAATCCGGTTTTTCTTAATTTGAACTGAAATTTTTTGGACATATTTATTGGCTAAAAAGAAGGCATTTCCCGCATTCTTTTAGCGTCGGGGCTGCGAAAAGTGATTTAAAGTGGTAAGGTGGCTGAAATCCGTCAGCGCATCACGAGCTTAACGGCCAAGCACAAAAAGCATGGAAGTCTCCAAATGACACGCAGAGGTATTCAGGAACCGTTTAGAACTACCTTGGTAGATATGTATATATTGTGCAGTAAGCTCAGTACAAAGTGCTTGCTTTGAAAGTGTTCCTGTCTGCTCATCCTACTGCTGACTATCGTGATGCTTCGACCTTCCCTACCGAATCGTAGGTGAAATTGTTCGTATCTCAATTGCAAGCTAAACATAAAAAGTGATAGCAGAAGCATAAAAGGTTGGTAATTGCTTAATTAATGATGCTGAATATATAGTTTTATTGATATATACTGAATTTCCTCCCAGCGGATAGATAGACCTTAGTTCTAGCTAGTATGGAGACTTGAAGATGCTGTATTTCACTTAAACATTTATCAATTAACAAACGAAAACTTTTCTCGAAGTTATCTCAACAAGATACGTCTAAAACCACCCTTTTGGGAGTTTCCGGATTGAACTTACTTTTAATATTCAACAAATTGTAGTGTAAAGACACCCTTTGGCTCCTGGGGGGAGGTGTTAAATCTAAAAATATAATTTTGCTGTTTACATAAGTCCAATAATCACTGATTTACTGGCTAAACCAGAAATATTGAAATTTCATTCTGGAAACAATATGAAGGGAAACTCAATACAAAGTTATTGAAGAATCTATAAACTTTAATGTAATTTCCACAAAGTTACTCGACGACTATCCGTGCTAGCTGTCCCCAATTTTGAAGTAATAGACAGCTAGCTAGTCAACGCTAACCCTCGCTAACTCTTGAGCTGCTAAATTAACAAAAATAGTGGGACTGAGTGTCATACTATAAAGCCCCATATCTACAAGGGCGAGCATGTTCGACTACGGGTTTCGGTCCCGCGACCTGCAGACTGTGAGTCGAGCATCCAAACCACCACGCCATGCCAGACCATACATACAGAAAAACTTTTTCTTTTCAATGACGGTACTCGTCGACTATTACTTTATCAAGTAAAACACCCATTAAAGCTTACAAGACAAAATGTAATAGACGATTTTATTATCCACAGATGTTCACTGTAAAAACACTGTAAGATCAACGTATTGTTGCAAAAAAGTAAAATTATTTAACGAACTTTAGCGAACCATGGAAAACTTATTACAAAACTAAACGTTTAGTTTTAATAGAATGCTCAGATAACATCATTAAACAACTGTAACGAAATTTATCAGGCTAAATAAATTTTATATCGCGAATTTTATATTCGATAATGCACAAACATTCGACGATGATTCGCAACCAATTTCTTTGGCTCATAGCTCCATCTCTTCACCGATTTCAGATCTAATTACAGCCGCGGCTACTGCGGATTCCCTCTTTTTTTTCTCTTTTTTTTTGTATTTTTTTTTAGCACATCCATTCAAAATAAAATCAATGACAATCTTCTTACTGAACGTAAGAACTATAAACTAATATTCTTACCGCTACATTAGGTTATTTTTATCTCTACTTACAGAGAAAAATTGCTAACTTACACCTGCTACCTTTAACATTATTCAGAATACATAACAATAACGTATTTGGACATAGCTAGCGTACGTCATCATATTTTTAAGCAACTCACCTGAAGAGAGAAGTAGAAGAAGCCAGCCTGTTTTTACACACTAGACTTAAGATGAGTGAGAGAAAGGACTTAGGAAGTAATGTACTTGTTATAAACACTTTAAATCAAAGGTTTTTATCACTTTTTAATAGGGAAAATGTACAAAAACAAAAACAATAAAAGGCATTTCCATGAAAATTCGAACATACTAAGATTTCGAAAAAAGTAGAATAAGGATCGAAGACCAGAAATATGCACAAAGCGCCACTGAGCGACATGAGATTTTCCATGTCCCTTTTTCTCAGTCAGTGACAGATGTTTCGTTGCCCGGATTGAAGAAGAGTTTCATGAAAACGGCTTGATTAAGTTAAAGCTATATGTTTTCTGGCATGTTAAAGTTAAAACTATAACTTTTCTATCATGATAGAGAAAAGTCCTCCTTGATGAAGCTTTACAAACTGCAGGTTTCTCAAGGGACTTCAGGAAAATAAATCATGGAAATGAGCTACAGGGATGGAAAAGTAGCTGCATGTGAAAAAATCTGTAGCTACAGGTGAGAAAATCTGTAGCTACATATGGGAAAACTGTACTTACATGTGAGAAAATCTGTAGCTACAGGTGAGAAAATCTGTAGCTACATGTGGGAAAACTGTACTTACATGTGAGAAAATCTGTACCTACATGTGGGAAAACTGTACTTACATGTGAGAAAATCTGTAGCTACATGTGGGAAAACTGTACTTACATGTGAGAAAATCTATAGCTGCATGTGAGACAATCTGTAGTTGCATGTGGAAAAATCTGTAGCTACATGGATGGAAAAGTAGCTGCATGTGGGAAACTGTACTTACATGTGAGAAAATCTGTAGCTGCATGTGAGACAATATGTAGTTACATGTGAGAAAATCTGTAGTTGCATGTGAGACAATATGTAGTTACGTGTGAGAAAACCTGTAGTTACAGGGATGGAAAAGTAGCTGCATGTAAGAAAATTTGTAGCTACAGGTTAGAAAATCTGTAACTACAGGTGAGAAAATCTGTAGTTGCATGTAAGAAAATCTGTAGCTACAGGTGAGAAAATCTGTAGCTACATGTGAGAAAATCTGTAGCTACATGTGAGAAAACTGTACTTACATGTGAGAAAATCGGTAGTTGCATGTGGGAAAATCTGTAGCTGCATGTGAAACAATCTGTAGCTGCATGTGAAAAAATCTGTAGCTACAGATGAAGAGAGTTATATAAATGTCAAGGTGAGCTCGCCACGCTACTACAAAAGAGCAGGAACTAAAACCTATTTCAACCTTTTGTATGGCAGTGATGCCTGAGAGATAAAACATGTATCTCAACAAAAACTCTGGTGACTTATCGAAACCTGTACTTAAACCCATACGAACGAAGATCGGAATAAAAGAATTCTTGCTATTTTCAGATTTTCTAAAACTAAAGTTGGGGAGATTTTGAAAAGTGAGATTAAACTTTAAATCCATACTCATCTTTCACAATCAGATCAATGTTCAGAATATTGGCTGTTAGATAGAGCACGTAAGTAACTAAGGAAACGATATAATATGCTAAGTGACTGTTTGGAATTACTCAAACGAATGGAAAGGGATCTTTTTTTTTTAAAACCACATTAAAATTCGTTTTCCTTTTCCTTGTGTCTGAGAGCAATATTATCTTTTATTCGGTGTTTTTCTGCATCTTGAATTTTCTGAGTCTTGAACACATGGCGCACAGTTTGCATTATTAATAGCTACTTTTTTTTTCAGTAATTTTGTAATCATTCTGTAGAGTTCACTGGTGTCAATAGATTTGTATAAAGAGAGGTTTATAATGTCCTCTTTCTTTGATCTTGCCTTTTAAAAGATGTTAACAAAATTAACGTCGATGACAAACACAAATTTTAAGATTCGCCTACAACCATTCAAGTTATTAAATACTTTAAATATTCTATTAAACCTGGAATAAATATACCTTCATGCTTGGTTTATTTTACACGACAAGGTGCTGTAAACTGTGGTGCTTAATAAATTGCCTGAAAAAAAATGTTTATTTTATTTAAAGTTAAAGTAACGACACTACTATTAGTAAATGCCAATAATTACAACAAGACAACAACTTAGTTGAGTAAGCTTTAGTAATCTGTGAATACTATGATATTTTCAATGATAAAACGAACCCATACGACAAATAAAATATTATGTATCGATAGAAATAAGCATATTTCAACAGAACTATGCCTTTATTTGTCCCCAACTGTCATAATCATGACAACAAATTTTAAATGAACCAGAATTACTCAAAACAGTGTGTTATATTTATCTCTAAGACGTGTTATACTTCTCCAAACACCAAGCCTACAAAATAAGATATTTTACTCACTAATAGCAACGTCGTCTGCTCCTGAAGCGCTACCTATACAAAACGATATATTTTATTTGGCCAAGGAAGAATATTCTGCTTCTGCTGTACTAAGTACGTAAAACGAGGTCTTTTAATTATTCCTGTAAAAATTTTCTTTTCTTGCAGCGCCATCTATATAAAACAATATATTTTACTTACCCCTGGTAATGTCTTCTGTTCATGAAGAGCCTTCTGCGCTTGAACTGCACTGTCCTTGGTACAATAGGTTAAAAAGGCACAGCCTGGAAGATAACCGTGTAGTGTTATTATAGTAGCGTTAAACCTAATTAGCTGTTACTCTAGTTGATTGTATAATCACTTACGTTGATGTTATTAAACTCTATGGAACGTCATTCAAATATTTTCTATTCATGCTTTAATTAAGTAGATTCACAATCTATAGTGTAGTTATAACCAGAATTGTGAACATGAATGGCATTATAATATATTATAAATAACCATAATTATAAATATTAGTGACATTATAATATATTATAAGTAACCATAATTATAAATATTAGTGACATTATAATATATTATAAATAACCATAATTATAAATATGAATGACATTATAATATATTATAAATAACCATAATTATAAATATTAATGACATTATAATTTATTATAAATAACCATAATTATAAATATTAATGGCATTATAATATATTATAAATAACCATAATTATAAATATGAATGACATTATACTTTATTATAAATAATTAAAATTATAAACATGAATGACATTATACTTTATTATAAATAATTACAATTATAAACATGAATGGCTGTACAATTTATTATACTTAGCCCTACTCATAAACATGAATGGCTGTACAATTTATTATACTTAGCCTTACTCATAAACATGAATGACATTATAATTTATTATACCTAACCCTACTAATAAATATGAATGGCGATATAATTTACCTTTGGTTATTAATTTATTAGCTTTTTTTAGTTGTTTATGTGTCCAATTACTACTAATGGCTAATAATACATTATTACAGCTAGTTTCTTGTTCGTAAAACAAAGGCCTACTGAAAACAGTGACAAATATCGATATATTAAACTTATGCTTTTCTATCAGACTTTCACTTTTGTTCACGAAAGGCTGTTTTGACTTTTCTAATGCAATACACTTTTGCTGTTTTCGGGTGGATGAAGATACAAGATCTTTTTCACGTTCATGTTGCTTTCAAAACGGACTGTAGGTATTTTGTAAAGAAGAGATTGTGATTAAATGTAAACGTCATCTACTAGCTTAGTGTTTGGTCGAAACAGAAAATACCAGATATACATTTTTATTAAAACGAAACAAGCAAACTTTCTGTGAAAATAAAGTTGATAAGGCATTCCATCTTGGTCGTATCAAAAACACTCACATTGTATAGATGGTGAAGGCTCAACTCAATGTAAACATTGTTTTGGATGAGGAATGGTGGCTATATATATATATTTGTCTCCTTCGATAAAGTACAACGTATTCCCACTAGTTGTTGAAAATCGCTCAGTTTCGAGAGTTGTGAAATCACTTAGGTAATTCACATGAGCACGTGCTCCAGAAACACCCCGTAGATGTTTTTAATTAGCTAGTTTACACTGGTAATGTAATTCACATAAACGTGCTCCAGAAACACCCAGTAGATATTTTTTTAGCTACTTTACATAGGTAATGTAATTCACGTAAGCACGTGCTCCAGAAACAGTGAATGTTTTCTTAGTTAATTCACACTGGTAATGTAATTCAGATAAGCACATGCTCCAGAAACACCTGGTGGATGTTTTCTTAGCTAGTTTACACTGGTAATGTAATTCAGATAAACACATGCTCCAGAAACACCTGGTGGATGTTTTCTTAGCTAGTTTACACTGGTAATGTAATTCAGATAAACACATGCTCCA